CACCTCCTAGGGTTAGTTTGCCCGCGACACTCTCGTTCATGAGCAGACTGTACCCTGTGGTGTCGGGGGTGTCGGTCGTTCCTTGGTGTCGACGAACCAGATTGGTCACTGGCTGAGTTTCGACCTATCGAGGTAACATTTGTAAGCGTGGCTGGTCAAGGTCCTAGGGGGCCAGTTGCTGATTTCTTAACGCAACCACGTTCTGTTGCACTGCTTATGCAATCATAGTTTTGATCATCTCCACCAACTACCCATTCTCGGGATTCTGTTTCCCTACCCCCTACTGGGTCGTGATTTGCTACATTGGCGACACTAGTGGTCGACCTGAAGGCACAATCTATTGAACCTCCTGATTGGTGCTTTCCATGTTGTCATGGTTTCCGGTGTTGGTTTTTGTTCTGGTACAGGCCATTGGAATTTTCAGATGAACGAGTCACTGAAATTGATTGCTGGAAATTCTAAAATTTGGCAGAGGCCCTCATTTTAGCTCCAAAATGTTGATACCGCATCAACTAGAGCAATCTGATTGACTTTGACGAAATCAGAATTGATGTGTTCATGATTAAGGATAATCAGCAATGTATGAATGGAAAATGCAATAGAGTAAATGAGACAAGAAAATTTTAAAGTGGTTTAACAAGTTATACATGAGCCTACGTCCACCATTCTTTGTATTTGCTGTGAAAGCTTACAAGAGTATTCCTAGAACAATTTGCTAACCTTTTTTCCATTGTTGGAAGAGGTTTATATACAAGTTTTTTTATAGAGGACAGAGCGAAAATAAAGGGATTACAATTATGATTAAAATGCAACTCTGATATTCTCCTGATTGAGCATTGAGATTGTGCCAAGATTGTCGTCGATCTGATCCCTTCATAGATATCCGGGATCTGAGATTATCTGTGAGCTGATTGAACAACTGTCAAGATTGGTTGTGACTAGCTTAAGCTGGGTCGAGTTATATTTCGACGAGCTTGTGTTAGGTCGAACAATCGTTTGAGCCGAACTGATTCTGGGTCGAGCTATAACCTCACTGAACTTTGACTTCTCCGAGCTTGATGGAAAAATCACACACAACACATATTAATAATTATGATATTTATATAATATGAGAAATATATTAATTATTTTAAAATTAATTTTGATTATTGATTAAATAGTTCGCATAATTACTTTTTTTAATATGAATAAAAATATTTATTATTATTCTATATAATATTTGTAATTTAGATGAAATTAAAATAACTATAATTTGGTCATATGAAATTATAATTCAAAAATATCATTTAAAATAATTTTAATTTTCTTCTAAAAATATAAATTATTTAAAGTTATTCCAGGAGGTGATACTGTATATTGTTAATAACAATACTTAAATTTTATTAATTATAATTTATAAATTAATTTAATATGAATAGATTATAATGTAGGAAGAAAAATAAAATTTAGTCCTAACTTAGAGAAAGGAAATCATACCTCTGCTGCAAAGGACCGGAACAAATAAATGAAAAGAACATTGAAACTAAATTTAGTGAACTAAACAGAAGGATTACACTTAAGATGAATACAAGAAAGAATTGACATCAGCTTAAGATGAATAGGGTCTCCTTGCTATGTAATTATATATGGCAATTAAATTAAAATTAGTTTGTCGATTAAGGAAACTGCTTTCTTAACTGGACAACATTACTAGGCAACTGCTGCATGTCTCCCTCTTCTCTTCCTTGTATTATGCAATTGAGTCATGTCAAGGAATTGGAGAGGCAGTTTGGAAGTGGCTGTGGCTATTGTATATATCATGAATATGAGCTATAGCTTTATAGGATTGTTTGTGAATTATTTGAGGGAATATTTTTGCATGATTCCACTTTGTATCTATCAGTCAAATTGTGGGTATTGGACAAAGGATGTTGTGTCTGGATTCTAGAAATTGGACACCACTGAATGAGGCAAACGTGACATTCACTGTCTTGGTGAACAAAGTAATCATCTCTACCATTCCCTGCATTAGATTCTCTTCTATGTTTTATTTTTGTACATAAATATAATCTAAGGCATTTGATGAGTCTAAACATTGCATCAATTATCTGGAAGTTGTACTTTCATTATTCAAATGTGATGTTTAAACACAAGTGCGTTGTTTGTAGTTTGTTGTCTCATTATTTAACCGTTGAACTCAAAATATTATGGGCTCTACGCTCTAGATTGATTCTTTGGTAAGATTATAAGTTGGTAAATACTATAGAATGATGATTTTGAATGAGGGTGTGTTTGGTGTATGATTGCAATAGATAATGACTATTTTTTTATGGGATGTAAAGGATATGATATTTATTGCTTAACTTGTTTATTATTACGCGCATTTTCCTTACGAATAAGAACCCTAGACTCCTCCGGTCCTCCCTCGCATCCTATGAAGGAGGAAAAAAGAAGAAACGTGTATAACACTGAAACATACTTAAATCTTGCCCTAGGCACAATTGTCATATTACTTTACCTGTAATAATTAGGCTCATTATCAAAATATTGTTGGATTTTTATCTTTTACATATCTCAAATAATGGGGCACAGAGTGGGCTCCTCTCATTTCGAACCCAAATTTGTTTCCACTAATAAAATCATGAGTTTGAATCGAAAAGAACACACTTTGGGACACATTCTAAACCCTACTATTTGAGATGAGTAAGAAATAAAAATCCAATAATATCTTGTCACTAAGTCGAGATGTTAGATTCAAATTAGTACAAATTTTGGGATACGTACAAGAGTTGTTTGTGATGTGTGTATTGCCAGACCATATGTATTGCTATATAAGAAATATATATTTTGAATGTCATTTGAAAAGGATGATTCATGCTTATCTTTTCTATCTTATATATAAAGCATTGATAAGTGACATATTGCTAACGTCAATATCAGTATGTTGGAGATTAAATTGGTGAAATAAAATTACAATATTCTTTGGTGGGATGGTGACTTGTTCCTTTTCTTTCTCTTTTCCTGATTCGTGAGGCCACATTGTTCTCATCTTCTTTCTATGCTTTTAGATTTATAAGATCTCTTGTATTGGGGGTCCCTTAAAGAATAATAATTGATGAGGCAGAGGCAGAGACGCACCTTTGTTTAAATGACTTTTGATTCACCGGACCTTCTCCTACTGACCTAAAAATACCAGGGGCCGTTCGGCATCATCCCAGAATCTCCTTTACCTGTTATGGAATATTTTAAAGCAAGAAAGGAGCTTCAAGTACAGCTTCTTGTTAAAGAGAAAGGCTAGCTCAATAACAATAACCTCTTCTTTCTTTTCTTGTTTTTCAAACATTAGGGCCACATATCATCAAAACTCATCAATAATTATATTCCTTTCTTTGAATATCAACAATGAGCTTTCCACTTAGGAGAATTATACATCAACATTCAAGAAGAAGCAGATGCTTCTTCTTCAAGAACCCTCTCTTCATGTGATATTGGACCCACTTCTCTTTGGGACCGACAGTTTGATCTTATAGTAAAAAGTTTATTCTAAGAGAATGATGAGTTAAACATTCTGATTATATATACCCTTCTGTAACTCTTTTTAACTTTCACAAATTAATACAAATGTCTTCTTGTAATAGCATCAGACAATCTTAAACTTAAAGCTACCATGGCATGCACTTGTTTGTTTAATTAATAAGCCTGTCGGTTTATCAAGACAAAACTTAGCATTTAATTTAATTTTACTTACCTTTGACCATGAAATTGTTTATTAATAATGCACAAATCAACTGAGAATATTGTATGGCACTCAGATAGCAATGCTTTGGAGATCAATGATTGGATTTTGATTCCAGTGATGAAAAAACTCTTGACCGAAACCCAAGAAATCTGAAGATCGATCTGATTCATGAGACTTTTAGGATTTGTTGTTGGGTAATGTGGCTTCCCTTTTTCTTTTCTTCTTTTCTTTATTTCTTCATAGTTGAGCTTGGATATGGATTACAGATTTACAGCTAACACTTCCTTTGGAATATATTTCTTTATGGGACTTTTATGCAGAGTGAATTATGTTGATTCCTTTCATATTTGAAGAAAGTTTACACCCTATGGACCTTTTTGTCATTTCGTTATGAACTTGCATCTTTCAGAGAGAAAAGGGAGAATTGTGAAATTGGATTTTTGTAATTGTGTTGCTTTTTTCACAACATGTGTTATTTTCCATATATGAAGAAATTACTCTTAGCTTATTGGATGATTTATTATTAGATGAAATTTAAGGAAAGTTATTAGAGCCTTTTGACTGATGTTACTGTAGCATTATTATTGCTACAAGTGAAGGTATTTGATGGAGTAGGGCCAATTGACAGTCTGTATTATATAAATCTCCAGAGCTGAGATTCCCCTTTAAGTGGATAATCTTACAGATGTATGTCACTTTTGGTTCAGTTTCCACAGAGGAATGTATAAAATGAGGTGTTTACATACTTGAGTTTTATAATAGGGTTGATCTGATTCACTTTTTCTAGACTAAATTGTTTATGAGAAAAAAAAGTATAAGCTTGGGTCCAAAAATCTAAGGTTAGATTCTTTGATTCCTCCATCCCTACAAAGAACAAAAAGAATCTGCCAATCCCACCACACTCTCCTCAAAAAATAATAAATACTAATAAAAAAAGGAAAAGATAAAGAAAAATTTAAAAAGAAAGAAAGACCCATTTGGTTTTCCCTTTCATCACCAAAAAGAAATTATATCCATTATAATTTTTTTTTTTTCTTCAAAGCTTCTCACAGTGCTAGGAAAGTTGTTCTCATTATTCATCATGGTGGGGCTGTATCTAACTCAGCAGGGAATCAAGCAGGGTGTGAGAAATGAGAAAACATCAAGATAAAAACAAAATATACACTTTTCCTCTTTTCTCTCCTTTTGAGACTCAAATTGAAGTGTGTTGCTTTCTCTGTTTTTTGCTGCATCAGAGATTCTCTCTACCCTCTTTCAAGTCAAAGAAGAAAGAAGAAAAAATTATAAAAAAGAAAAGTTGGTATGAAATGGCAATGGGAGATAAGAGAAAGGAAGAGCCACAGCTCATGGCATATATTCCCCCTAACTTAACCCCACTTATGTTTCCAGATATGGAGTGAGAACATAGGACAGGCCACCAACTGCAACCAAAATTATAAAGACAATTATAGCTGCCACATATTATTCAATCCATTCCTAAAAGGAACAGAAACCCATATATGTGTTTCAGTTTTTCTACTTGTCTCTCATCCTAGAAACATAAACCAGTCTGCAAAACATGCAAAATCAGAATATGAACTTGGTTTTGTCTACTGATACTAAGCCTAGGCTAAAATGGACTCCAGAACTTCATCAAAGATTTGTAGAAGCAGTCAATCAGCTTGGAGGTGCAGACAGTTAAGTCTCAATTTTATGTTTATATTTATCATCTTCTTCTCTCATCTTAGTATTCAGTTTCTAATTTGTGTTCATACCTGGGCAGAGGCAACACCAAAAAGTTTGATGAGAGTGATGGGGATTCCTGGACTTACTTTGTACCATCTAAAAAGCCATTTACAGGTAATTTTTTCTCAAGAGTTATAATCTCTATCTTGTTTCTTAATGTAGAGGAGGAGGGATCATGTTTATATTTGCGTTCCTTGCTGCAGAAATACAGGCTGGGGAAAAGCCAACAGACTGAAACCTGCATTGAGAATAAGCAAGGTGATTTAAATTAATCAGAGTAGGAAGAAAAAGTAGCATGATCGTCAAATTTTCCCATCTTTCTCTTCTTCGGATTTCATACTAGTTTTTTAATGCAGATTGCAGAGAGACTCAAAGCAGTGATGGGAATCTCAGTAGGAATACCAGTGATAGAACCCCAATCAGTTTAATGAGTAATAGTCAGAAATAAATCCTAATGCATTCGATGAATAAACCGATATATAGTAATAATCCAAGTAGATTCAACTGATTCAAGTGTTGTGTTTACGAGGCTTGCAATCGCTCAAGCTCTCCAAGTTCAACTGGGTGCAGAGGAAACTTCATAACAGATTGAGTACGTACAACCATTAAACCAATCAAATTGGTTTCTGATTATCATAAGCATCATCAAATACGTTCAAACTTCAATCAAATGGGAATTTATATTTTCAGGTACAGCGACATTTGCAGCTGAGAATTGAAGCTCAAGGGAAGTACTTACAGTCTGTCTTAAAGAAAGCTCAAGAAACGCTTGCAGGGTATAATCTTCTGCTTGGGAGTAGAACTTGCAAAAGCAGAACTTCCCAGTTAGTTTCAATGGTTACATTGGCTGCCCGAGTTCTTCAGTTTCAGAACTAACAGAAGCAGAACTTCAAGTTTAAAATATCAAAAGCAAACAAATGAGAAACACAATTTGCTCCGTGGAAAGCTCTTTGACATCATCTAGAGTTTGGGAGAAAGGAAGAGAAACAAACAATGAACGAGATCGGCGACACGCATAAATATACAACCCTTCTGTTGAACTTCCATTGATGGATATTCATAGTGGAAAGAGAAGCGGAAGTACCATTTGATGGGTTTTGGGAGGAGCACCAGTTAATAAAATTAGCAAGTGAAAGAGAAAAGTGGTGAGCAATTGAGAAATTCTGAACTATGGGTAAATTTGATCTCAACAGAAAATACCAAGAATGAGAATGAACCAGGTTCAAGCAATAGACTTGAATTGCAAGGGATTAGAACAACTTAATGGACCCAGTTAGTGTTTCGGAAACTTTAGAGTGAATGGTTTTAGTGATGTAATCAATGCAGAAACTTGATTCTTAAGCTAACTTTTGTTTATAGATTGTATATGTTATATGTAGGACCACAAGAACTTTTGAAAGTATATCCCATAAGGTAAATATAATATGTCTTTTCTCCTTGTTTTAATCGCTCTTATCTTGAAAACACTGATTTACTGATACCTATTCCATAATAAGACACCCAAATGTACTTTTAACTCAGACATCAGTAAATACAGAGACGACTCAATCAGCAGGGTCTTTCAGAGAAGTTTTATGTATTTTCCTATCATTGCTAGCCAGAAATTGATATCAACGTGGTCAAATTTAAGATTAATATAAATAAACATTTTAACTATTAATATTAGTTTAAAGTACTCTATTTAATAGACTTACAATTTGTGATGCTGGTTTTGGCACCAACTAATTGTCACGTGCGTAACGTTGATTGTAAACACGTGATAACGAATATAGAAAGTGAAATAAATGCAAAGAAAGCTTTTAAAGTGGTTCAGATGCTAAGGTAGCAAGTCCTACGTCCACTGATTTGTATTGATATTAGTGTGGGTCAGATCGCAACAGCGGACTGACTTACAAGAGAGTATGAAAAGTAAATGTGTTTACAGGAGGAGAGAGAGTTCCTCAATGTAAAAATGGCCGAATCCCCTTAATGAGGGGTCTTCTTCATTTTATATTAACTGAAGCGTGTAATTATCATTAATCCATGGGTTGGTGTGATTGTCAGGATATAATCCGGCTTTATGTCCATTGCTCTCTTCCCAAGCTGATTTCGCACGATTTATTGCAGGGGAAAGGGACACGTGTGACTCCATATCATTTGGCAGGCCTGATGTGTGCTTGTTGCTCTACGAGAGCAGGTCACTCTTCACATGACTTTCCCACGTCAGCCCTTATCTTCCCAGGCATAACAGAAGCCCCTTAGTTTTTAAGGTTTGAGGATCGAACCTTGGAAACTAAGTCAGCCGCGATTGGAGGTTCTGGTCGCTCCGACCTGAATGGGATGAGCTCGGCAAGGGCCTTTGGCGAACACGATCTCGCGTGATCCTTGCCTAAGCGACCTGACAATCTTCACGCGACCTGGATTTGTTGGACGCTCCTTTCTTTACCTTAGAGACAATGAACCTGGTTCTGCGCTGTCAGCGCTCTGCACGCGCTACAGCATTTGTCGACACATTAAATGCGTTGTGTGCTGACCCACGCCATTTTGACAGCATTGGTTGTGCAACGCATTTGAACGATGACTCTTATCACGGCATTTAATGCGACGTGGGGCGCATTTAATGCGGAGAGAGAGTGGGCCGTCATTTCGGTTCCGAGGGTGGTAACCGTCGATTCGCGATCCATATAAAATCTCACATCTTTCAGAGGACGCCACCGAAATTCCTTTTGCTTTGAGTGACAACCTTTGCAAACCAGAGATCTTTCTTTTCCGATCGGCGCTTATCAAGCAACTGGAACGAGTTTCGGCAGTTCTACGCATCCCAGAAAGTAAGATTCTCCCTTCTTTCTTTCTTTTTTGTTTGGTTGGGCCATGGCGTTGGGTCCCTGTGTTTCCCCAGAACGTGACGCGTCATTGATTCGAGCTGTGACGGCGGCTCGAGTTACTGTTAGGGTTTAAGGGATTTGTCCCATGTCGCCGCGCGGGACATGCGATGGCTAAAATGACCTGTCTGTCGATGTGCAGACTGGAATGGAACCGTCAACATCTAGACCCAGGAGGAGCCAGCTCATCCTCGAGGGAAGTTCCCGAGGACGCATCCCTTGATGTCTTCTCGGTCCTCACCTTAGAGGAATCGATAGGATAAAAAAGCAGTTTGACATCCGCGCCGAGGTGTTCCTCGACCATACCAGGTCGTCACGGCGCCCTTCCGATGGCCTTGCCGCGATCTCTGAAAAGATCTTCAAGGGTGGAGGGAGTTCCCCCATCCTTTCATCAGGTCGGTCCTGGATCATTTCGATCGTACCGATGCAGCTGACGCCAAACGCGTAGTCTCCTGTCGCGATGTACATCACGTGCTGCGAGGGTGGCTTGGGACAACGCGGTGGAGCTTGGCGTCGCCTACTACCTTAAGAAGAGTAGGGACAGGATTCTACTATTTGTCTCGGCGACCTACCTTGCCGCGGGGATACATAGCTATCCCAGCAATGCGGGGCCTACGAGACAAATTCTTCTTCTTTTGTTATGACGGTACTGCCGCTTTCAGAACCAAGTAGGTTTTTTCTTCGCTGGGTTCATTACTGCTCGCATGATTTATAATAACGACTGCTTTTTCCTTTTGCAGTAACAGAACGACCAGCCAGCCCTACTCACCGACCCAGATAGGCTCGTATCTTTTGGATGTACTGGACGAGGAAGCCAGGACGCGAGGAAGCTTGTGATGACTGCGAACTGCGGAAGTACGTTTTTTTCAGCGACAAAGCGTCTTTAGAACCCCCAGAAGGTAAGTTATACTGGTTCCCTTCTGGTCGTAGAATAATTTCGTTTACTAACAACTTAAATGCAGAAACTTGCCCCAAAGGAGTCCGAGCAGCCCCACCGGCTCCATTCTTTTCCCTCGATCGAGGAGAGAGAGAGCGGCTGAAGTTGCTCATCCTATTCCGCACAGCCTGCGAACAGTCACGCCTCCCCAGCCCCGTCCTGTGCAAGAAGCACCAGGACAACAGGTTGCTCAGGCACCATTTGCTCGCCCAAAGCGGAAGGCTCCGGCCCAGAGGTCGAAGAAGAGGAAGCAGATTTAGGCCGAAGAGTCAGACCGAATCTGAGAAGAGCCTTTAGTTCGCGACAGGAATACAGGAGGTCGGGCAAGAGCCCGTGACGAGGCATTGCTGCCGGCAAGGCGAAGGATGTGCCAGTTCTAGACTCATTGGGAGCCTGCCCGAATACCTGTAGCCATAGTTTATGGTTCGCTCGAATGCGAGCTATCGATTCATACGGGCGTTTGCTGATACGGGTGACGACCTGATGACCACGCTTTCCAGCATCTAAGCAAGGTAAACAGCTGTATTTGAAACTTCATTCTGATTTATTTCTAATTCATATCTTGCTCGCAGGCGTTGCTTGCGATGAGGATGTCCATGAAAGACTGGCTGGGGGCCGCAAAGGGGACAAGCGACTTGAAGGAAGAGTCGCGAAGCTGAAGCAGAGCTTGGAGTCCGTCGAAGCGGAAAGAACACAGCGTTCGAGCGGCGAACAGGTATCTACCAAAAGGACGCTGCTTTACGAACAGTGGACTTCCAAAAGACGAGCTCGATCGACGTGCGGAGGAAGTTAGGAACTTCAAAGGACAACCGCTAGGTCTCCCAGGGTCGAGAAAGGACTAGGAGATCCAGGCACCTTCGCACGGGCTCGCGACTGAACAAGATGGGAGGCCTCCGAACAGGAAACGAGCTCTTGAGGCCGAACTCCAGGAGTCGGGAGAGAATCGCTTCTTTGACTGAAGAAATGCGGATCAGTCAGAGAAGCTGGAGGAAGCCGCAGACTGGCAATCGGGTCTATTTACTCCCTGCGAGCAAAGAACCCAGATTTGGACATGTCTGACCTCCCGAAGGGTTGGCAGGCGACCTTGCGATCATGGCAGAAGAAGACGACCAGGCAGCCGCGGCCACCACGACCCCGACCAGGCAGGGGGTTCTGTTGAAGGATCCCCCCGACCAGCCTTAGTGTAATGAGTCGTCCCCATTGTACGGGTTCTTTTGCTTGTATATGAATGAAGATACATTTTCTTTTCAATTGCAGTTCGCTTTTTCATATATATGTACACTTTACACGGGATTTACATAAGTATTACATACAATTCATCAGCGAATAGAACACATGCGAACTGTTTCGGGCGAACAAAGTAACACTAATATCAAGAATTAACAAAACTTAGAGCTGAGTTCGGATTACTGATAGTATGGCCGGAGGTGCTCACATTCCAAGCTCGGGGTACTTTGGAGCCGTTCAACCTTTTGAGATGGTAAGTCCCCGGTCTGATTACTTTGTCAACCCGTACGGACCTCCCAGTTAGGTCCTAGTACCCCGCACTTGGCTCTCTGGTCCGAGGAGAACTTCCTTTAGCACAGTCTCCGACCTGGAAGTCTCTTCGCTTGACCTTTGAGTTGAAACCTATTTGCACCTGCTGGTAGGTACTATCCTTAGCAAAGCCTTGTTGCGGTGCTCTTTGACCATCAAACTTGCTCTCATAAGTGTTCGTTCTCAACCTCATTGTACAAGTCCCTCCGAAGAGAACCGTCCCGACCCCTACAGGGATCATCGCTTCGCAGCCATAGGCTACGAAAAAGGGGTTTCCGAGGTGGAGGTTCTTGGAGTTTTCCTGTACGCCCATAAGACTTCAGGGAGATCGTCAGCCCAATTTCCTTTGGCTGTCCCGAGCTTGGCCTTTAGAGTGTTCTTGATGGTCTTGTTGATTGCTTCAACTTGGCCATTCGCTTACTTCTGGCGACTGAAGCGAATTTTTTATGGATGCCCAGCTCGTTGCAGAACTGCTTGAACTCCTCATTATCGAATTGCTTTCCATTATCCGAGATGAGGGTGTGAGGAATTTCGTACGGCACACTATGTTTTGAAAACGAAGTCTTTTAGCTTTCTGGTCGTGATCGCGGCCCGGTTCGGCTTCAACCCATTTTGTGAAATAGTCTACCGTGACCACGGCATACTTGACCCCTCCCTTTCCAACTGGCATGGGGCCATAAGGTCATCCCCCACATGGAAAACGGCCAGGGGCTGACATAGTAATTAGCTCGTAGATGGGGCTCGCGAAA